TCATATCCATTTTTCTTCTTTGTGGGGTCCTCCTCCATATTTTGGCACTGTAATTGACAGCCTAATCAACAGCCTGGAAAGGGTGGTTATAACCGCACTAAAAGGCTCGAGCTTGATGGGTTTTTGTGGTGGGGTTCACGTATTCTCAACTGGGTTTCTCTTTGGCACAGACCCAATTCACTCTGCAGCAAATTGTTTCCATTTTGCTCTCCCATTGAGGTAAGAGCTCTCAGAAAGCTCAAATCTTTGTCTGTTTATGTTGGAGAATTTGAGGGGCGAGTTCAACTTTGCTCTGCACTTGAGCAATGTTGGTGTTTATGTCTTTTTTGGTAATGCTAGGATTTTACTACTTGGTTTTTAATTGGGTTTTTGTGTATTGAGTAGGATAGATCTGGGGTAGCTCAGTTTTTGGGGTTTTGGGTTTGAGTCATTGGAGAACTGGGTTTTCGGCATTTGGGATTGTGAGGACTTGCTTTTGGTGAATTGAGTATTGTAGGATTTGAGTTTTTAGATCTTGGTTGATTGATTGGGTTTGATTGTGGCAGCTTTTCAGTTGCTGCTTGAGAAAGTTGGCATTCTTTTCCTTCATTTGCCGTTGAGGATCTGGTTTATTTGACATGGTGAAGATGAAACTAGTAAAGTTGGTACCTTTGGTTCTTGCTTTTATATTGCTTATGAGTCTTAGATCATCTGCTTCATTCACTCCTATCGATAACTACTTAATTGCTTGCGGTTCTTCGAAAAGTATCACATTTCAAGGTCGCACCTTTGTTCCTGATACACAACAATCTTCCCTTGTACTAAAAAGTGCAAATTCTGTAGTTGCTAGCTCCAATTCTACTGTCCCTTCTCCAATTTACCAATCTGCTCGAGTTTTCAAGGCAGCAGCTTCTTACAAATTCAAAATCCAGCAAGAAGGCCGGCATTGGGTCCGCCTTTATTTTTACCCTCTTACAAGTCCTGGCCAAAACTTGGAGTCTGCTCAATTAACTGTTGTTACTAATAATTTTGTACTCTTGACCAACTTCACTTTCAAGAACTATAATGGTTCTTATCTGTTCAAGGAGTATGCAATCAATGTAACTTCAGATACCTTGACTCTCACCCTCATTCCTTCAAACAATTCAGTTGCTTTTGTTAATGCAATTGAAGTTGTATCTATCCCAGATGCACTGCTCTCTGACCAGGCATATGCTGTGAATCCATCTGCTCCTTTTAGTGGCCTTTCTGACCTTGCCCTTCAAACAGTTTACCGGTTAAACATGGGGGGTCCTTTGCTCACTGCTCAAAACGATACCCTTGGAAGAACTTGGGAGAATGATCTGAAATACCTTCATGTGGACAGTTCTGCAGTGAATGTATCAGTCAACCCTGCGAGCATTAAATATTCACAGGCTGTCACAGCCGAAATCGCACCAAATTGGGTCTATGCGACTGCCGAAGCCATGGGAAATGCGAATGTGCCCAATGTGAACTTCAATATAACTTGGGTCCTTAAGGTTGATCCAAATTTCTTGTATCTTGTTCGGGTGCATTTCTGTGATATTGTCAGCAAGGCTCTGAATAGTCTTGTTTTCAATGTTTTCGTGAATTCTGACAATGTGCTCTCGAGTCTTGACCTCTCTTCCATTACTGGTGACTTGGGTGTGCCTTATTACAAAGACTTTGTGTCCAACTCC